TTATCATTATCCTAGGACTCCTTTCACTTAGCTCATGCTGGTTCTCCTGCTTTCTAATTTCATGTTTTTGTGTTGGTTTTTGTTTTGTTTTGTTTTTCCTTTCTTGGTTTATTTTCTTTCTTGGGTAGAAAGCATCCTTCAGTGGCTTCTTGAGGAAGGGTAACTTTTGGGGACCTTGCATGTCTGAAAATGTCTTTATTTTACCTTCACATTTAACGTGATTTGGCTGAGTTTAGAATTTTATATTGGCAATATTTTCCTTCTAAATTTTGATGGCATTGCTCCATTGCGTTTTGGCTTCTAAGTGTTTGTGTTGAGAAGCCTGAAGCCATTCTGACTCCTGATTTGCTTGGATGCTATTGCCCTTCCCATTCTGGAAGCTTATTGACTCTTCTCTTTGTCTCTGACAAATTTCATGAAGATGTGGTTTGCAATGAGTTAATTTTCATTCACTGTGCTAGGCAAAATTGAGGATCATGAATTGCACTTAACTATAATATTTCTCTAGTGGCCTTTAATCCAGAAGTTTGCCAGACTTTCTTTTTCCTTTCGTGAAACTCACCAGTCTGAAGGGTCCATGACACATGTTTTGCAGAATGTCTCTAAAGTTATGTTTCTGTATAATTAAATTTGGATTAGACATTCGGGGCTGAAATACTACATAGGTAATACTGTGTCCTCAGTGCATCATTTTGGGGACACACACTGCTAGTTTGTCTCAATATTGGTGATGTTAAGCTTGACATATATGTTTTTAAAATAAAATATTATTATATAAATTGTACATATTAATTGCAGAAAAATTAGAAAAAAAATCACTAAATATATCACCCAGGGATAACTGCTGTTAATACTAAATTATGTAACCTTTAGACTATAATGACCATATATATATACATACATATTTATAAAAATGTATCATGTATAGTATTCTACATCCTGTTATTTTTCCAGTTAATGTAGTAGTTGGATAACTTTCCATGTCAACCAATAGAAACATGTGATATAAACTGTCTGTTTAATGTGAAATGAATTATAATTATCTGAATAACCCCCTGTTTTTGGACAAAGATTTTCTAATTTTCACTTTATAAATCAGTGAAGAACATCTCTTTATATATGTCCTTGCACACAAGTTCAGTTATTCCTGCAAGATAAACTTCTACGATTGGAATTTCTAGGGCAGAAGCACATGCATTTTTAAAGCATTTGAATACATGGTGCTGCATTGCCCTTGACAAGGGGCACAAGCAATGCATGTCTTTTTCCCCACAGACTTAGTATTGAGCCTCATCCATGTTTTAAATTTTTGTCATTCTCATAGATGAAAAAAATAAGTGTTTCATTGTTACTTCATCATTTCCAAATTCATATATAATTCACAAACCATGAAATTCAAACTTAAAAAGTGTACAGTTCAGTGCCTTTTAGTATATTCAGTGCACAAGTTTGTGTAACCATCACAACTATCTAATTCTAGCACATTTTCATCACTCCAGAGAGAAATTTCATATGCATTCCCTTCATCCCAAGCTCCTGGAAACCACTGATCCATCTTCTGTCTCCTTTTGTTTATTCTGGATGTTTCATATAAATGTAGTAATAATAACAGTATGTGGCCTTTGTGTCTGGCTTCTTTCACCTAGCATAATGTTTTTAAGGTTCATCCATCCTGTAGCGTGTAACAGGACTCCATTCCTTTTTATGGCTAAATAATATTCCATTGTCTGGATTACACATTTTGGATTACACAAAACCACATTTTGCTTATTCATTTATCAGCTGATGGACATTTGAGTTGTTTCCACTTTCTGACTATTGTGTGTAATGCTGTTATGATCATTTGTGTACAGGTTTTTCTGGGAACACCTCTTTTCAGTTCTCCAGGATATATGCCTGGGAGTGGATTTGCTGGGTAATATGGTAATTCTATGTTTAACTTTTTGATGACTTTCCAAACTGTTTTCCACAAAGACTACCATTTTATGTTCCCACCAGTAATGTACGAGTGTTCCCATTTCTCCCCTTGTATAGATGCACATTCCCATTTGACACCATGTTCCTTCTGCGTGAAGAAGGTCATTTAACATTTCTTATAGTTCAGGTCTGCTGGTAACAAATTCTCTCAGCTTCTTCATTTTTGAAAAATGTTTATGCTAGGTATATAGAATTCTAGGATGACAGTTTGTCTTTCAGTACTTCAAAGAAGTTCTACCATTGTCTTCTGGTTTACATAGGTTTTGATGGTAAATCTGCTTTAATCCTTATCTCTGTTCCTTTGTATGGAATGTTTTTTCCCCACCTCTGGTTGCCTCCAAGATTTTCTCTTTTTCTGTATTTTCCAACAGTTTCACTTGGATGTGCTTATGTGCATTTTTCTTTGTATTCTGCTTGGGCTTCCCTAAACATTTAGGTGGGTGATTTGTTATCTTTCATTAATTTTGGAAAATTCTCAGCTATTTCCTTGGACATTTTCTCTCTATTCTCCGTTATTTCAACTTACATATAGTATCACCTTTCAGATTATCCCACAGCTCTTGGATGCTCTGCTCAATTTTTCTCCACTTTTCTTCTTTTTTTTTTTTCATTCTTTTTTCTCTTGTTACCATTTGAAATTCAGGATTTCATTTTGAACAATTTCTTCTGGCCTACATTCAAATTCACTAGTTATTTTTTTTCAAGTTCACTGATAGTTTTCTTTTGTGTCTAGTCTGGTGATGAGCCATTTGAAGGACTTCTTCATATGATAGCATGTTTTTCATTTCTAGTGAATCAATTTTATTCTTTTTTTCATAGTTTCTATCTCTCTGCTGAAATTCCCTATCTGTTCATTCATATTATCCGTATTTCCCCTTAGATCCTCCAGTAGATTCATTGTAGTATTTTCAAGTCACTTTCTCATAGTTTCAACTTTGGGGCCATCTCTCAGTCTGATTCTCTTTACTGCTTTATTTCTTCAAAATGGGTCTTTTCTTACTTTTTTGCCTTGTAGATTTGACTGAATGCCAGACATTATATGTAAAGGAAAAATAGTGACTGATGTAAATAGTATTTGCTCCTGAAAATGGGCATGACTGTTCATTTGGTGGCCACTAAGGTAGGGAGGGCTAACTAAATCTAGTCAGTAGTTGAGCTAACTTTGGGTTTTGTCATTGCTATAGTTGCCATTATTATATTACAGACTCAACACTCCCCCCTACTGCTGATACCTTGCTTTAGTGAGAGGCCTGGAATGCTGGAGGGTTCTTCTCGGGGTTCCTGTTTCACCGCCAACTTTTCAGCACATTTGGCCACTGCGGGCGGCGTGGGAGGTTTCTCGCTCCATACCTTTTGTCCCTCTCCCAGCAGTAGTGTGCTGTTGCTCGTGGTGGGAACAGGCTGATTTTCTTTTTAAAAAACTCTCTTATCCCGGCCACAGTCTTCTCTAAGCCCTGGGGGCCTGAGCCTCAAGGGTGGGGCTTTATTCACATTTCTGTCCCTTCCACCTATGACAGCCAAACTTCAGCTTGTAACTTGCAAAAGAGCAAGTTTCCTGGCCCTTCCCCTGCTGCAAGAGGTCTTTGCTTTCTCAGTGTAGGAATCTGAGCATGACTAGGGTTCTGTTCTGCCTCTCCTTAGCAGAGAGCTTTTGCTGTATTCTGCCCCTTCCCAATGAAGCTGACCTTTTGCTGATGACTAGGGGTGATTTGGTTTCTTGCTCCAGGAGCAGATGAGTTTTGCTTAGTATGAGAGAAGGTTCTGAGCTTTATGCTTGTCCTCCAGAGGCAGCCCCTCCCCATCTATACATCTGTCCCAGTGAAGAGGCTCCGTGAAGTCCCCTGTCCTGCTCCCATCTTTCTCATGAGCCCTGGTTGAGGTCCCTGAAAAAAAGCTCATTACTGGGAGTGGTCTCCCTTGTGTGTGCGACTCCTAGCATTTCTACTGTTATTTTCACACACATGTGGCTTTTATGAATTTGTCAGAATATCAGTTTGTTTTCTTACCTGTTCTTCGGGCTGCTAATTTTTCCTCCTGTGCTCTGCCATAGGTGGAACAGTTTGATGTCTCAGCTCTCATCACAAGGGCTGGCCACCCTTTTCAATTCAGTTCACTTATTGCCTTGCAACTCAGTCCTATGAGCGGCTCAAAAAGTTTTAATTTTGCAGATTATCTAGCTTTTCCCTTTTCCTTTTGGTTTCTGTTAATGTGGAAGCAATATTCCCTTGCAACTTTCCCTATCCTATGTGGAAGCAGAACTCTCAAAATGTTATTTAAGGATACCAATCCTTTACCATCCATACCTCAACATTTATGATTATTTTCTTCTCTGATTTCTTGAATTGAATAGGACAAAGTCAAAAGACAAACTATGGAAATGGGCAAAGAACAGAAATAGGAAAGGTCACGGTAAAGGAAATTTCAGTGGCTATTAAGCATATGAAAGTATGATCTACTTTACTCATAATAAGAAAAAGAAAGTATTTTTTATTGACCCTGTTGGCAACAAATGTGAGGACATGTATTGCTGGTGAGAGTACAAATTGGTATAAGTTCTTTGGGGTAATTTGGTAGTCTCTAGAGTAATTTTGCTAGATATAGTCTTACCTCAGCAATTTCACTTCTAGATGTCTCTTGTTAAGTGGAAAAAAAAAAAGAACAAGATGCAGAACATTTTGTGAAGTATGCTACCACTTGTAGGGGGATGGTTTGCTGGGGAAGAATGTAGTTTGTAGAAGCATGTCTGTCTCTCAAAGGATACATAGGAAGTGGGTTACAGTAGTTGCCTCCAAGAGGGGGAACTGGGTGCCTGGTGGACTGGGAGAGGAGAAAGGCTTCATGTCAACTGTTAACCCTTTAGTACCTTTTTGAAGCTTGTACCTTGTGCATTTATTACCTATTTAAAAAAATAAATTTCAGCTTTATTCACAGTCTATGCCCCATCAAATACTCTGAATACTCCCATCAAATATGTCCAAATGATCTATGTCCTATCAAATAGAAACAACTCATCAGACACCATCAAGGACTCACAATACCTATTTTATGGTTCATAGTAATAATAATTGTTATAATATTCTATATTCTGTAATTTCAGAGGAACAGAGCTTTATACATGGTATTTGTTTCCATCCTTTTTAATACTTCCATTAATTTGTTAGAAGTTGGTAAGAATGAGGTCTTGATAATCATTTTGAAAATATATAATTCTATACTGATAGATATTTTATTTTAAAATAGAGTGCATTCTTTAAAAGTATCTAAAAGTCAGTAATTATTAACTTCATTTAAAATGCATAATTAATCATGATCTTTTAACATATTTTTATATAGCTCTAGAACATGATTTTCTTATTTTTGTTCAAATTTTTTTGGATCAGAGTGGGCTTTAAGCCACAGATCGATGGCACTTTCATACTTCCTCGGTTCTTTCAGCCAGTCCTGATGCCACCTAAGGTTTGCTATGACATTTGAATAGTTTTCCCCTATACTTTGTTTCCACTTGATAAACTCCTCTTTATTGTATTGGTGAACAGAAGCAGAAACCTTAGGGTAGTTTATAATTGAACGAAGCTTCTGATCCAAAGAATATGTAACTTCAGGAAATTTTGTAGCAATATTTGTTAGTTCATCTGGATCTGAGGAAAGATCTGAAAGAAAAAAAAATTGAATAGCTGTCAAATAGTAACCTGCTAGAAATTTTTTTTTAGAATGTCATTATTCTGTGACAGATAATGTATTATAATTTATTTTTATTTTCAGTTCTTTTTAGTGTAGTAAGATAAAGGACGGTATAAATGGAGAAATAATATACCAAAAGTTAAACACCTTTTTAAATGTATGTTCAAATTATTTTCCTTCTTACCATTCATCCTGCTATCCCCACCCCCCCTTTTTTTTCTTATCTATTCTTAGATGGCAGAAACAGTCAAACTAGTGAGCTGGCTTAGGCCCAGTTCTTCCTACTTTTGATGCCTTGCTTGCTTTGACATGAAAAAAAAAAGGAATGCTTAAATTGTCCCATTTCAACAGCCCCAAACATTCCAGCTGTAGGAATTCTTTACATAGTCAAGTTGTGTTCTTGCAACTTTACTTACTCTGAGGGTTTTTTTAAAATATATTAACATCTTATGTTTAGTTTTTGAAAATTACATTCATCAATACTGTCTGAGCAAATGAGCATGGAAGTAAAAACTCTCAATTACTACCACTGAGGAAATAATGATAAATATTTTATAGACACCTTTTTTACCTACAATGTAGGAAGACAGACAATATAACTAGGATGCCAATCTAATTGGAAAAACGACAAATCAAAGATCTTATGACAATTTACTTAAGTCAGTAAATGAAACTTGCATCTTGAGGGTAAAACCCCTCCAGGTCTATTTGAGTGCACTAGCCAGGAGACCCCTAAAGACATATATGATTTTGCTCAGTGACTTCAGATGCCCCCTCTTTAGGAAAGGGAAGTCAGTGAATAAACCCCAGAGAATATAAGAAAGGCAGGCTTCTCCACTGATCTTTGACAGTCACATCTGCTTTTTGAAGAACATAACCAATGAACAAACAAGAGTTGCCCATTCCTCATCAGGATGAAAATTTAAGGACTGTCTTCTGAAGCTAAGAATCTCCTGCTCTTAGAGTTAAGGGTGGGAGGGGAGGTTAATCAGTTTGGCCTCTAAAGAATTATTTTGAATTAATAATTTTGACATTTGTCAAAACTGGGAAAAATTAGCAAAAAAGGAATATAAAATTAGATTTAGCACATACTTTATATGCAAAAAGGGGGCAAAGGATAAGTAGAACTTTAAGTCTAATAATAATGCTTAAAAATGAATTCATAGAGTAGTGAAGGCTTTTGTAGGGTGGAAGGAGCATGGATATTGGAGTCAGACCTGAGTTGAAATCCCAGCCCTGCCACTTCTTAGCAGTGAGACCTTGTGCAGGTATCTGAATCCCTTTGAACCTTAGTCTTTTCTATAAAATGAGGATGATGGTATCATCTTGTAGGGTTGGGGTGAACATTACATAATAAATGTAGCACGTCAGACTCCCTAACATAGAGGTGTTAATCCTCCAGAACAACTGAAACCAAGGTACAATGAGAGGATGTTGACTACTGATTGGGAAAGATAACCATGAGTGTTAGAAGACAGCTTGATCAGAAAAAACAGTGGTGTTTTTAATCTTGAGGCCCAGATTAAAAGTCTTAGGACACCTACTTTGGAATTCAGATGCTGATTTACAAAGTAGCTGCTCCTCACAAGGGCAACCTTTTGTAAACTCTCCTAGTATGAGAAGCAGTAGATATTTATATATTTGATGATGATTACTGGCTCCCTTGAGCAAATGCTCTGTAAGTCAGCTCATTACACATAATACTAAACTTAAAAAATATATCAACAATAAACAACAAGTTTATAGTGTATAGAACAGGGAACTATATTCAATATCCTATAGTAACCTACAATGAAAAAGAATATGAAAATGAATATATGTATGTACATGTATGAGTGAACTATTAAGCTTTACACCAGAAATTCACACAACATTGTAAACTGACTATACTTCAGTTAAAAAAATATATGTATATATCAACAAACTTACCAAAGAGTTGAGGCAATACTGAAGCACCATCAGAGTAGGCTATATACTTCCATTGGTTAGTTCGAAGCATGTAGGTAGAAGCGTTCACATTACATCCGTGGAATTGACTCAGAATCCAGGGCGGATGTAGGTTTTTGAATTTTTGTTCCTTCTTAAACATTTCTGATGACAGTGGCAACAGAGAGTATCCACTCAGGTTCTGAGGCAGAGGAATTCCAGCAATATCTATGTAACAAAAATAATACGATATTTTTTTAATGGCTCATTTTTTCATTAGTTGAACCTTGATAAATGATATCATTAAAGGTCACAGAGACTAGGGACGGTATATGGATTTTGTAAATAGACTGCCTAGATCCAAGTCTATTTTGTAAATAGATTGCCTAGACTCCATCAGACTTGTGACCTTGGGCATGTTATCAACCATTCTGAACCTCAGTTTCCTCATCTGTAAAAGGGGAATAATAATAATGCCTGTATTTCACAGGTTTGTTTTAGTTTTAATATGACAATTTATGTAAAATTTTGAGAACAGTACCTGACACATCAGAAATGCTCAACAAATATTAGTTAATATCATCAGTGCTTTA